CTAAAAACTAGTGTGAGCTGCGTCGGTGTTTCTAATGAAACAGTAATGATGAAAAGGTAAATTATACACCGTGAAAAGATGAAAAAACTTACTAAAAGTTTAGTAAGTTTTTTCATCTTTTCACGGTGTATAATTTACCTTTTCATCATTACTGTGTAGTATGTGAGTTGAGTTGCTTGTTGGTTCTCTCCTCTGCTTCTTTTGGTTTTTCTTCTGGGTTCTCTGGTTTTTCCTCCCTCCACAAAAAATCAACTTCTAAATTCTAATTCAGTCTATTTGCTGCCTTATCAATTGACGGTTTTCATGGCGGCCATGTTGGAGGATCGAGCTTAACAAAAGAATTGTCAATGAATTATTTTGTTATATCCTCCAACATGGCTGTCATATCTTTTGTTACTTAATTCCTGTTGGGCATTAAGCCACCCACTAAGGAGTGGTAACATATTAGATTATAGTTTCATTACATTAAATGATCCAAATATTTATACTCACACTCTCAAGTCTTGTTTTCTGTGCTTCTTCTTGTAACCACTCATTTTCTTGTCTCCTGTTTTCTTGTTAAGGGTAACGAATGAAACTAATGGTGCTAAATTTCATTTAAATAGAACCATTTTTGCATGAGTCGGAAACATTATAATAGAAAATTTGTAGTAATGTGTAGTTCCAGAAATCATCCATACCCACGCCACAGAGGAAATTGGAATTTCCGAAGAGTAGGGGGGTCAGAGAAAGAACAAAAATTACAGAGTTTGTATGGAAGAAAATTTAATTTCCAGGGGGTAGGGGGGTGTCTTAAAAAAAATTCTTCCATGAGGGGGTATGGATAATTTTTGGAACTACACAATGTGCTGTTACGGTACAGTGCATACCATACATCTGTGAAAAATATTGTAAGCAATTGCACAGATTTGCCCAAATTAGTATGCTCAGTAGACCACACGCAAAACTATGAAACTAATTTGTATAAGTTTGTTAGTTCACTTTTTCATGGATATTTAGTATGCACTCTACTGTATTTTTATTGTTTATTGTTGCAGTGTGGTTGAAAACATAATGTTATGGCATGTCATACCGTGAATGTGTCATACATCATTACTATATGTTTCCCATTAATACCAAAACCCGACCACTCTATATTTGCCTGAACACTACTACGAATTATAAAATAAATGTTATAAATCTTGCATTCTGATTAGAATTGGGAGTGCTTAATTTATGAGAGCACACAGCACTTATGCGCCCTTTGCATTTTATAAAACAGAACACTTGAGAAGCATCTAGAAGCACTCCACAAGGTGTCGTGCTTCTCCTAACACTTCTCTCGTGTTCTATCTATGCCCGTGTGCTTTATAACTGCACACAGCATGCTCCCATGCTTTTTATTTCTTCAATAGGGCCAATGATAATTATTCTACAGTCACCCACTAGAAATATAAATAGTACTACAATTTGATATCGAGTTTGGAATCTACAGGGGGAGGGGGGACGGCAATAATACCAAAAGATAAAAAAGAAAATATATAAAATATGTATAAAATATTAAACAACATAAGATTAACAAAAATATCAAGCTAAGCTTGGCTGGTGATCTTCAGTGGCCGAGCCATTTGAGGTTTCTAGGTGAAGATGGCAATCAAGAGAAAAGGATACAGTCCTTCTACCTCTAGTTTTAACGCTCTCAGTTTTTCCGTTATCTTTTCTAATCTAAAGAAGACGCAAAAGAGCATGAAACAGAATACAGAAATATTCAAATAATGAGGCAAATTTTTGAGTTAACTGCCCTGACATATACAAACTCACTCTTTTCTTAATTCCAACTCTTTTTCGGTCGGTTCTGGTTTCTTTTCGCCTTCTCCTTCAGCTCCTGTTTCTTTATCACCACCTTTTCCTTTCTTTTTCCCTTTATTTTTCTTTTTTGGAGGCATTTTCCCCTGATTTTCCTTCAACTCGTTTGTAAACAACAACAGTTGTTATGGACACGTGGTCAGCGGTAATGCGCAGAGGTGAGGGGGATACGTCATGTTGTTGCAAATAGTGTTTAACACAGGAATCCCAATTATTGAAATTTCGGATGTGACGCAGGCTACAGGTACGTTTCTGACCATTAATGCTACTGCAGCAAGCTACTGCAGCAAATTTAAATATATCGTTCCAAGGAGGTTGGCATTACGGAGGGGGGAGAGGGGCATGGCCCCCTTTCGTGGCAAGAAATTGGCGGCCCTTTAGGATTTAAATGGTAATTTCTTTTTTTTTTTTTTTATCTCTTGGCTTTTTTTTGGTGGGGGATCGACATTTCGGGGGCCCAAACAAAATGAAGGAGTTTTAAATATGATATATAAAACTCTACGCCGACGTTATTAAAAACCTCAAATAAGAAAATGGGTCGTTTTCAACCTTTAAAAAACATCGTAAAATGGTCAAAAGCTGACATTTTTATTTATTTAATTATTTATCTATCTAACTTTGCCTTCAGTTCAAAATACGAAGGGGGAAATGATACAAATCTAGATACATGATTTGAGGCAAGAAAACCGCAACAGCTAATGGCAAAAGTCCCTCTCACAGTTCCCTGCGCCATCTTAAGACGTAGCCGTGCCTTTGCATCGAAGCGAGACGCCAAACGGTGACCTTGCAATGATAGAGACCTTTTTTTAACACCTTGGATAATTATTCGCAAGTCTCTATAACAGTAAGCTCACCGTTCGTCTCGGCTTCAATGCAAAGGCACGGCTACCTTTCAAGATGGCGCAGGGAGCTATGAAGGGGACTATAACTATTATAAAGTAAGTGTGTTGTCAATGCATTTAGAAGCAGCACGTTAAAGGACTAAGAAAACAACGAGCAGAATTACCTTTTAGCAAATTGATTTCTATGAGCGAGGATCGTCTGGGTTGCGTATATGAGCACAGAAAAGCTGAGGTGTAGTAATGGAAAATATGTCTTTTAAAGAAAGATAGTGATAGTGTTAGCTGACGCAATTCCTGTGGTAATAAGTTCCAGACTCTATATGACCCTAATCATAAATAGTTTCTGATATGTTGAGGTTTCTTGTTGATTTGATAGAGCGAGGAACAAATGTTTTATCAGGATCGAGCTTGGTCAAGCCTGTAATAAATATAGCTTTGAAAAAGAATACCATGTCCAGATACTCATACCAGTAACACAGGGGGAAAAGGTTTGTTTTTCTTAACCTTTCTTTTTAACTGATTTAAATTCCCAACGATATGGAAGATTCAGGATGAATTTAGTTGCCCGTCACTTTGCACTAGTTCGGAGCGTTGTACCTTCCACTGTTTGAGGGGCCCATACTTGTGTTGCGTAACCAAGGTGGGGGCGTACGATGATAAGGTAGGGGGTGCATCTAGTTGGTTGTGACATGATAATTTCTAGCCGAGCGACGAAGATACCCCATGCAAGAGCTGGTTAGCTTTCGCACTCTGTGTGACTAGGGCGACTTTCAAAAACGCATTTTTTCGATTTAAAATGACTAAACTTCGTATGAGTTCCATGCATGCTTTCATTAGTATGGATTGCATCGTCTTTCACCAACGGCTCGGGTCGCTGGTTCGAGACCTGCGGTCGCCGTATGTTTGATGTTTGATGTGTTGTTCTTTCCTATGCTACGAATGTTTTCTCCGGGTTCTCCGATCCGGTTTCCTCCCTCCATAAAAATCAACATGTGAGTTGACTGTTGTATGTTGTAAATATAGAATGTAGTGGGTAGTTATGCGGTAAAAGGGTATAAGAATGTATCTATTTATCATTAATGATGTTTTCAAAACGGTTCTTTTCTATGCGATATCAAAACTAGCATGCACTTTTTGTTGAGAGAAGAAAAAGACAAAAATCGCGGGCGGAAGAAGAAATGTCACTTTTCGGTCACAGGCAGCCCAAGCTCTGTAATTCTATAAAGAATTTATGGGAACTTTTTAAGGATCGTATTTCATAGAAATATAAGAATAAAATTTTTGAAACCGTCGAAATCGCCTGAAATTGAGCACAGGGCATAAAAGACAACAGATAATGGACATTAAACTAGGGTTAGTAAATTTTATTCTATTAATTATACATTCCTTACATTCTCTATTGAAGCAGGGCCGTTTCATCTGCTTTGGTTAATATTCAAAATGTCATATATATGTACGGGGCAACAGAATTTAGTGAAAAAAGATACATTATTACATTTTTTTACGAAGCTGGCCGTGTCGTGATTCATCAGTAAAGAATACTGTTAGATTCAAATAAAGCCATGTAAGTGCAACCTACAGCCTTCTAATCACCGTCGATTTATAAAATTTAAAAAATACATTTGCAAAGTCCACCGCCGGCGAGTCGTCGAATTCAAATTTCGGCACTTCGGGTTCCGAAAGATTTCCGAAGGGAATGGCCGGAAAAAAATGAAAATCGCTCGCTTTTCATTTTTTCCGGCCATTCCCTTTGGAAATCTGTCGGAACCCGAAGTGCCGAAATTTGAATTCGACGACTCGCCAAAACGGAAAAAATAACGAGCGAGACTTGGAGCACGTCTAGGGGAAGGCAAGGAAGGTGAACTTGGGGCTTTGCTTCTAAATAGCTTCTAAATCACACGGGAAACTGAATTCTGGGGGTGAACATGAAGCATTTTTTGAGCTAATTCTTTGCGTCTTATCAGTAGCGTATGTGCCGGAACAAGGTCTGACGTCATAGCACGGAATCAGGCGGTATCAAGTGTGGTTAATGGATTTTTACGACAACGAAAAAAGGAATTCAAGAAGACTCTGAGTCTCCTCTCACGTACGCAAAAAATTCGACCAAATTATCATCTACGGTTACTTAATATGGATTGGATTACCGGAACTAATACAAGCGGCGACTGTAGCCATAGCTACTTCACCAAGCTTCTACAAGACAACTTTCTTTGCAAAATGGTGGACTTCACGACAAGAAACGGATTTGAAAAGCAACCAATCTCTAATTTTGGCAACATTAAGAAGTTTATATAATTTTACATATACTTCTATTTATTTGATTCATAGAAGTTACGCTCTAAGGTACTCACGTTCTCATCCTCATATTTTATCTACGCTCAATTGTTTCAGAGATTATTGAAAACCACTCTGCTTCTTGGGAATGAATGGGACGTGAGTCCAGTCACAACGGTCCTTTCTTTCTTTATATGATTTGTGTTTTGTAAAATTAGCACAACAATTGTGACAAATAAACTAAACTAAACAAAACGTGAATTCCTCTTGTGGAAGTCACGTAATGTGACTGAGGGCGTAAAACTTGATGATAAAAAACTATGCTGCTTGGTGTTTGGTGACTAGAAAGAAGCGGTAACAAAATAGCCAACAGACGGAAAAAGAAATTTTTGTTTTGAAACGACTGCATATTTCTATAGTTAGTAGTTACATAGCTGTGTTTACCCTCGAATTTACCAGATCAGCTCAAAATGACCAGGAAAAAGTATCTGTAATTACATTTTTATATTTATTTCTACTTTATATAAAGTATCAAAGCTTCTTTAAAGTGTATATGACACGAAAACATTTCATCGTTTAAAATGTATAGTTTGTTAATAATGATAAATATATCGTAATAAAATTTGTTTCGAAAGCTTAATTCTTGAGATATGTGAGAAAATTAAGCCCAATTTGTGACGTCATTTTGTTGACACGTACTCTAGATTCGGTAGAAATGCACTAAATATAAATTGTAATTCATATAAAATAACAACAAAAGGCATATTCTATTCAGCTTCATTTGATAGCTTACGTAGTACTCTTCAAATGTTGGGGAACTGAAAAGTGTACTACCTGAAACTATGATTCTACATTCAAACAAATTTCGTGTATTTGCAACTAAATCTGGAGACTTGTAAACAAAATGACGTCACAACTTGTGCTAAATTTTCTTGAATTTCTAGAGAAATACGTTTTTGAAACAAATTTAACTGTGATATTCTTATTCATGCCAATAAAATACACATTTTTAACATTAAAATGTTTTCGTGTCATATGCACTTTAAAGCCCCGTTTACACTAGCGTTTTTTGCGGCGATTTTTGCTGCGATTTTTGCTGCAATTTTTTTGCGATTTTGTCCAAAATAAATAATGGTAAAGAATTTACTTGTATAGTTTTTTTCAGGATACCAAGCTAAAATTTTCCTACGAATGTCTCTTTTGAAGGATGAGACAAAAGATTTCATATTTCCGAAAATTGCCACACAAATCGCAGCAAAAATCGCCGCAACTTAAAACAACTTTCAAAAAAGTTCTTCATGAATATGAAAACAGGAAAAATATATCGTGAACGACAAAGCGAGGGCTGAGGACATGCAAAGTTCCAACACGTACCCTTCCTTTAATGGTATGGAAATTGTTAACATTTATTGACAGCAGTCAATCATGCACCTGAATTCAACCAATCACAACATTCATTATCACGTGACGAAGCCTACTTCGTGCGCATGGTCTTGCTTGTCGTAAAAGGTTTGTAGTAGATTTTTTTAAGTTTTAAGTTGATTGGAGTTAATTTGTAAAGTAGTGTGGATTAATTTGGTTTGAATCAATGAGTGATGTTTTGAAGGATAAAGAAAAGACACTTTGACAGAGCACGTGAGGTGACGGCATCGACAGCATGCGATTCAAAACTTACACAACAAGGCAAGCGGGAAGCCCAGTATTAAACCTGAACCTCGTAAACTGCTGAATCTTCCTGAAGCACCTATAATCTTCATATAAAAGACATATTGAACTATTTTAGTCACTCCTGAACTCGTGTTTAGATTCAAGGTAAGTTTTTTCTTTCATTTCAGAAAAGACTACATGAAATCAACAAATAGACCTTTTATCACGCAATAGTTTGATCCTTGACTGTACAATAGCTTAAATTCTCGTATTTTTTTCTCAAAAAATACTAGAAAACATGTCACGGATTCCCTAATCCTTAATGATTCGTAAGAACTTGTTGATTTGCGAAAGAAGAAGCACTGTAGTTTTTTCTGCGTTTTTCAGCCGAAGACCTCCCGAACTAACGAAGTTATGTTTGAAAAAACTTTGAATTCTTCTTATTTTGGTGTCGTTTTTTAAATGACATACGAATCCAAGAGATTATATTGTTCAGAGTTTAATTATTTGGTAACGTTTAGTTTATTTGGTGAGAAAAATAAGTGTTATTTTGAGCGTACGATCATCGCTGTTCGCCATAGTCCGCCATCTTGCTTATCAACTAATTAATATGCAAATTATTTTTGAAACAAGATATTTTATGCCTTCATACACGAAATCGAAATATGAACTATATTGTTCTGACCCGGTTGTATGACCGGTGGATGGCTAATGCTATACGACGGATAAATCTTATCCATTGGATAACTGGATGCTGATATCCAATACATTTATTTACATCCACTCTTCAGAGACTTAACATATTTTAGCCACATGCCAGGTGGTTTCCAGGAAATTAAACCCCAAAGGTGAAAGGCCAGTGGAATGTTTTAATGGTTCTTTACATCCCATAAAGTATTTCAATTTAACTATACAATAAAAGTAAATAGATAAAATAAAATAAGCACAATTTGATAGGGTAACTAGAATTACACAGAGTGATTTTCATCTTGGCCCTTTCTAGATGGAAACCTGGAGAACCCTCGCGGCACAGGAGAGAATCAACAAACAACTCTACTCACATATGACAAGTCCGAGAATCGAACCCAGTTTGCATTGTTGAGAGGCAAGCACTCTCACTGCTACACCACACATTTGCATCAAATTTTGAGGGTACTTTGCATAAGCACAATAGTTTTCATGTATAGTGAAGGATAAGCTATTGTAAATCAGTAGAAAGTCACTCAAAACTATATATTAATAAATTATATATCTTTATTATCCAGCTATTCAAATTTGAGTACAAATAATGCAGGAGAAAGTACAAATATCCTGCAATATGCTCTAGGTTATTTTGTACAGTAAAATAAAAAACCAGTTTTGAAAACTAGTTTTTTTTTTTTAATTATAGTTTTGAAGCCTTCTCTTTGGGAAAGCATAAGCTCAGTTGGATAATAAATACCTTGTTAGACATTTTAGGGTGGAAAATGGGCCCTATTGGGCTTGACAAAATACATATTCCACCCTTAAATTTCTAATAAGATCTACATACAACTACTTGCAAGAACGTTGTCATACGAAAATAGAACATTAGTGATTTAGTGGGATAGGAATTATATTAAAAAACAAAAGAAGATCACTGAACCTGAACTTTTTCTTTTGTCTTTTAATTTATTCCTTTCTCACTAAATTACTAATGTTCTAATATCGTATGACAGCCTTCTTGCAAGTAGGTGTATACATCCTAATGAAAAAAATGCAATAGGATGGTATTTGGTGGTGTTCCAATATAGTGGCAATTTTTATTGCAAACATTTATAATCAGAATTTCCTTTTGTTTGTTAACAGGTATTCAGATTAGATTATGGAAGAATTAAGTGAAGCACCAGCCAAGAAAAGGTAGGTGCAGATTGTGTATCAGGGTTTACACTACTGCTCTTGGAATTCCTGGAAAATTCTTGGAATTTCAAAAAATTCTTCTTGGGCTCTGGGAAACTCCTGGATATTTTTATTGGTGTCAAGGTAAAAACAAATGAGATTAAGAATAAAAGTGTTTTCCTTACCAACAGTTAGTATATGTCCCTTGTTCTAAACATATTTAAAATGTTGCAAGGGAAAACTGTTTCACTACTTCTGACATGAAATTTCAAAGTTAAGAATTCTAGAATTTTCATATTTATATCTTGGAAAACTCCTGGAATAATGTCCTAGTGATAAGAACACTGGTCTTCCGATAAAAAAGGAATAATTTATTTTCAACCAATACATATAAATCTTTAAAGATGATGGTTCAAAAGCTTGGATAAGGTTTTATAGGTTTTATAAGGTTTTTTAGGGTGGCATGGGTGGCGTTCGCGGCTAATCCTTCGTCTTTTACTGCTGTGAGTCCAACGGGTCAGGTCGCTGGTTCGAGCCCTGCGTTTGTCACATGTGAATTGAGTCTGTTTGATGTGTTGTTCTCTCCTATGCTACGGGGGTTTTCTCCGGGTTCTCCGGTTTCCTCCCTCCGTAAAAATCAACATGTGAGTTGAGTGTTGTGTGCATAGAATATTGAATGTAGTGGTAGTGTGTGTGAGTGAAAAGTGTCCCCAATTAGTGTGCAAGTGCTGGAATGACTAGACACTTAAATAAAAAAGTGATTTTATAGATTGATCAATGAAGATTTGAAAATACTTGAGGTGCTTGTATTGTCATAGCTGCCATTTTGTATGACGTTGACAAAAGATTTGGTTTTGGTGTCTTTTGTCTTAATTGCCAACAACTTGGCAGCCACTTACCTTGTGCTACATTAGAAAGGATGATGCATGCTGCAATAGTGTGAGACTTGAACATAACATGACTTTAAAATATAATATGGAAAATACCGTAATAGGAAACCAATTTATCTAAATGAAGCTTATCTACCAGTATCTCGGCTATCATAGATCTCAGAACAATTAGAATTTGGAACACTCTTGCTTAAGAACTATTAAGTCTAACTATGGTAAACTTGAGTTTAATCAAAGCTGTGATGTTCAAAACTACTAAACCCTAACCCTAACCCAGAACCTTTGAGAATATTTGTCTGAAGTCTAATACCTCACAAACCTTTACATTGCCTTGACCTGCTGCTGCTATTGATTATAAGTACCTGTATGTGCCCACAGTCATTGGCTAACTGGGGTTGTCATGGTTACGGTACGTCATTAGAAGCAATTATCAGTAGCATGCATAGCTCAGTTGGTTAGCATAGGGCCTTCTGAACTAGAGGTAGTTCAACTGTTTGAGGAGCTTCAGGATTTTTGACATCTGTTCAACTTTTCTCTTTTCTGTGTAGCTTTAGTTTGAAATACCTGTAATAAGGAATTTAAAGGGAAGGTAGAGGGTGTACTTTATGAATGCTTTAACACAAGCCCATGGCTTGGGAGAATTGGGCAACCATTTCCTATGCACAGTTTCAAAGTAAAATTAATTACGATAGGGGCGTTGAATCATCATTTTGATGGTAGCCATGATAGAAGGCAGGAATAATCTAGAGTGTTTTTTAATCAGATCAGACCAGATTCAATTTGTGCCTACCTTCTGTCAAGGGCAGATCCAGCCAAAATTTTAGGGGTGGCCTAATTGAGTTTAGAGGGGGCTAATTGAGTTCCTTTTGTCAACACAACGGAAAACAATTTAAAAAAACGTCTATTGTAATTCTTCAGTTTTGTTTTGTTTTTGTTTTTTCTGCTGAAGGGGGCTTCAGCCCCCTTTTCCCCCCACTGGATCCGCCCTTTTCTGTTATGACTGCCATCAAGTGATTGTAACAAGCCTCTATTATATCTTTTTTTCTGCCTTTCATTGTTTTCTTAGACTTTTGCAAAGTCTGCTGGCTTCTGCACAATTTGAAAAATTTCTTGCAAATCCTTCCCTTTTTAACCATGCTCTGAAAATTTTCACTTCATTTGAATAAATAACACCTTTGGAGACAATAGACTTGGGGCAGTCTAATAATTCACTAGTATACCACTCACTAAAGGCATTTCAATAAGATATCATCATGGTTGGAATAGTTTTAGTGAGCTCCTTCAATGAGCTTTTACTCTTGGGAACAAACTAAACTAGATAACATATATAGAATAAAATTAATAGCTACAGCTGTTGTAGTATTTCAAACATGTTTTACCAAAAACTTCATTCCCTCTTCTTCCCTAAATTTTGGTGATTAGTCTGAGATGATAATTATGAATAAAAGCTCCCGTAATAGTTTATACATGTGTATAATACTTTTATATCATGTAGTTCCAGAAACTATCTGTACCCCACACACAGAGGAATTTTTTAAAGACCCCCCTACCTCTAGAAATTCCAATTTTCTTCCATACGAACTCTGTCGTTTTTGTTCTTTTTCTGACCCCCCTACCCTTCGGAAAATCCGAATTCCTCTGTGGGGTGGGTATGGATAATTTCGTGAACTTCACACTTTTTAAAAGCTAAAAGTGTAATATTTGAATTTTTTTTAACTTTCTTTACAGGAAAATTGAAGATTCTGCTAGTGAAAAAGGTAGTGTGCTAGTCGTATTTGTTTCTCTGTTGCTCAGGTTTAGACTCAATTTTGTGTAAAATAATAATATTTTTCGTTTGAGGACTGTGAAATATTAAAGTGTTTGTATTCTTGAAATTATAGATGCAACAAAATCTTTTGTTACAAGTTGGGAAAACTTGTTGCGAAAAGTAGAAAGTAGAACGTTGATTTGCGATTTGTTGCTCGTTTTTCATCACTCGTCCAACTTGTCACGCAATATTTTATGTGCAGAAGCGGCCGCTGTTTTGAATTATGTAGCTTGTAGCCAATCAGCGTGCAGAATATCACCGTTATAGTCTCAACTTGCAACATTAGATTTTGTTGCGTGACAAGTTGGATAGATAGGATGTAAAACGAGCAACATTGTTTTCGAACTTGCACCGCAACAATGTTGCGCGACAAGTTGGACGTTTTTGTGTCTCGTATTTCAGTGCCTTTACTAGTAGGTTAGATTGTTATGTTTGTTGTCGTTGTTTTACTTTTATTTTTGACCAGTATTTTTACCACTATCCTGAATCTTTTTCGTCAACAGCAGAGAGTAACCTCGTAAGTGAAATCCAAAAAAATTCCAACAGCACTTTGAAGCAAAAACCCTTTCAAATAAAAACTGCTTCTCTTGCACGACTACGGCAAGCAGCAAAAAACTTATCTCCTTCAAAAAGCACTCAAAATAAAGATAATGCAACTGCTGTAATTACAGCTGATAAAAATCAAAAGGATGGACAGACTACTGAAGATGGCGAGAGGAAAGACATTGGTCCTACTAACGGAGTTGGCAGCGATGTGATTATTTCGTCTACTGGGTCATCTCCAGCTCGTTCTCCAAAACCAGAAGACCTAACTGTCCTTTCTACGCCTCCAAAACAATCTAACACATCGTGCAGAAGACCAGATTTTGCAAAGAATCTCGATGAACGGCTTGAAAGTCATGACACGCCTGATAAACAGGAGAACGACCTTGCGCAAACTGAGAAAGACGATAATAAAGTCGAGGAGAATGCTTCTCAGAATAAAAAGAACGACAAAAAATCAGAAATAATGGACGTTGATAAGAAGGATGTGAGAGAAGTTGAAGTTGGAGAAGAAACAAGAACAGCAAATAATGCATCTGAAGAGAAAACTAAGATAGATTTTAATGCAACAGAACTTCAAAAGGTGGGGAAAATTCCAGGTACAAGTGATGTTTTGAAAGTTTTCAAAATTGGACAAGTCTTTAGGCGAGCCCAATTTGAGAACTTTCAAAACATCACGAGTATCTATAATTTCCGAATTGTACGAGAATTCTTCGATTTCACGTTACGTCATCGCGGCCATGTTGGTGCCATTTAACAAAAGATTTTTTATTACACCTTTTGCTGTTCATTAAGAGAAAATGTACATTCATTTGTGCCAATAGTTGTATCAATAACGTGTAATGTACTTTCATCAACACCAC